ATATCGCCTATCAACACATCCCCTTCATATCATATCATACCAGGTCATCATCGAACAGCATACTCACATACCCATATACCGGACCCCGGTTGTAAGACTACAAGCACATACACGTACACAAACTAACAAACTCAACTACGCAACTCTCTGCACGCCTTACCTACCTTCCTACAGGATGACGTCATCGTGCACATGGCCGCACCCACGGGGTTGTACGTAAACCACCACGTAGATCCACGGGCGCTGTCGGATGTTGAAGCTCTGGCGGCTGAGGGGGGTGTTTTCAGTGGTGTCGGGGAGTCTGGAAAGGGGTCTGCGTCTGTGGCGGTGGGTGATACTCGGCTGAGCTCTATATCGGCTGCCCTGGCGCTGCATGTGGATTGCGTTGGTATTAAAGGTGAGTGAGTGCGGTGGGACAAGTGGAGAGGGCGGGATAGGAATGAGTCATACCAATGAGTCATACCATGTGCTATAGATAGGAATGAGTCATACCAATGAGTCATACCATGTGCTATGGATAGGGATGAGTCATACCAATGAGTCATAACTTGTGCTATGGACAGGAATGAGTCATACCGTGCGCTATGGATAGGAATGAGTCATACCGTGTGCTATGGGGAGGGGGGGGGAAAGAATTGGTTGTGAATGTGTATAGGTGAGCACATGGGTTAAGCACGAGTTAAAACTCGTAAGGTAGGTAAATGGTGTGCTATTTTTAGGTCTTCCACACCACTAACTTTAGTTAGTTGCGTGCTAAACAGAAGTGAGATGCAATGTGCCTTGTGGTCAATCCGCCGTTCACTCCTGGTACACGCGTGTACCTTATCCTAAACCGTGTAATGCCACCGGATTAGGCTATATATATTATATCTTTATGTATATATAATTATGTATGTATGCGTACTGATACTCGGCTGTACTCCCCAACCCCCTGCCGTACCTACCAGTGTATAGCAAAGCAGGCGATGCAGCCCTCAGTTTCAGTGTGGGAGTGAACGCGCATATAGTCCATTGCGAAGACGAGAGTCTCAGGTGTGTATGTGCACATGTTTTAAGCATGAGACTCAGGTATGTATGTATGTGCACATGTTTTAAGCATGAGTTTCAGGTGTGTATGTATGTGCACATGTTTTAAGCAAAGTCCTGCATAACTCAAATAAAGTCTTGTGTTCGGTAGGCGGTTATCGATCGGTCCCTTGGCACTCCTTCCGATCGTGGCCAACGTTGTAATGAGTTAATGAGTCTGAAACAAAGCCTTGAAACCTCAAGTATCATAATCCAGTACACACATACGTTGTATTAAGTCTGAAACAAAGCCTTAAAACCTCAAGTAACATAATCCAGTACACACATACGTT